ACTGCAGTAATATCACTGTACAGTAATATCACTACAGTAATATCACTGTACAGTGCTATTACTGTAGTGATATTACTGTACGTCCACAAACCACGATAGAGCGAGTCCGTGATTGTCAAACTGCGAAGTAGCGAGGGACTACTGTACGCTGATGAAAATCAAAGACACAGACTGGTGAGAAAATGAATAAAAAAGAAGCCAAAGTTTACAAGAAGACCTTCATGAAGTCTAGAGAACTATCGATCAACACCACTTAAAATGATAACAAAAGAGGTCTGCCTTCTTGGAAGCACAGAAAATAAACTAGGAGTGTTTTAAACCTTTTGCTCAGCGCTGTATTTTATTTTTTAACTTTCTGTACAGTTGCTGCTTAATGTGCAAATCACTGCCTCTGCTAAGACTATCCTCTTCTGTTCTGAATACTGGTCCTGTTCTCATCATAACGACCGCTTATGTTCCTCAAGGGATTAAATGAATGAGACAAACAAGGTTACGTTTCTTTTAGAGCCACTCGGTAAATTATTTGCCGTCTCGTATCATCAAGCAAATTGTGACTTTATCTGATTTCCCATTAAAAGTTGACTCTGATCACTCTTTTTTTTACACATGATTTCAGAGTTGTAGCCATATTGCACTTCTCACAAAGATTGGAGAAGTGTTTTGTGTGCAGAAGAGTCTTTAATGAAGAGGGTGCATGTGTGCAAAATTCACTTTGAAGTCCGTGTCTTTGTGTTGTGTCTGATGTGAAACGAGTTGTTTTGAAAGGGAGGATTGCCTGATTGATGATCTGTTATTTCTCCCTCTTTGTTGTGTGTGTTTCTTTCTCCTTCACTCGTCGTTCCACTTCTTTCTTCTCCTCCAGCGACAAGACGGTGAAGATCTGGCTGTCAAAGGTGTGGAGGAAGAGGTGAGGATCAAAGACCGTGGATCCTCTGTCAGCTGATCTGTGACCTACGCCTTTCGAGTGGCAGCATGTGGCAACATAGCCACAGTTTCCAAGGCGATCAAGGTGTGGCTTCGAAAAACAAATACGCCTTTTAGATTTTGTTTACTGCCAAACTTCAAAAAGTGCCATTCTGGTGTGGTGCTGCTCGGAAAAGATGAACTGCATCAGCGTGGCGGTGGAAGCATCGAGCGAACCAGTTTGTCACCCGACAGGAAAAGCACTGCCTGCAGCCTGGTTGTAAATGAAAGTGTCCTTCTGTTCTTTCACCAACGTTTCAGACGGCGAGACGTGAATCTGCTCATGTTTCTGTTGGACTCCTGTTCCAGGATGAAGGACTGTTGGTCGGGGCTGCTCTGATACACCACACTGGGACTCGTGTGAAGTGTTCATCAGTGCGTTTGGCTCGAACATCACTGGAAAATCACACCAAACGCCTCGACTTGGGGTCCATTTGCTCTCATTATATATGACTGAAATGTTGTTTTTTTGTATTTTTATTATTAATATTAGTTCTAATTTATTATTTTTCCTACCTCAGTTGTTTTGAACTTAAATGTGAGATGGGTAGGAACTTTTTTACGGGTCTTTGTGTGCAAATACTTGGTGCTTTATGTTTTCAAACCATTACTTAAAGAGGTAGTTTCCATCTTTAGATGTGGGGGTTCTGCTGGAAAGGTTATGAACAAGTTGTCTTACCTGTTGTAGATAACTGTTTGAGCAGCCTCAGTTTAGAGATGATTGTTTACACACATTTCTTTGTTTATTTGAAAGCACAAATAGCAAGAACGCTCATGGCTTTTTGTGGTGCAACGTGTTGAGAAGATGTTTATCTATTGAAATGACCATGTAGCATAAAGCTGATAGCAATGTAAAAAAAACAAGACCCAAAAGCCTCGTCTTACAGCTCCAATCTCCAAAATGTTTGAGTGATTCAACTATACAGTTTATACATTTAATTCAAATTACATTTCTGCCAGTTTCCTAACGTGGCCCAAACCACAACTACAAATTAAAAAGCACAACATTTGGAAAAAACCGCAACATTTGAAATTAAATAACATTTAAAAAAACGCAACATTTGAAAAAAACGCAACATTTGAAATTAAATAACACTGAAAAAAACGCAACATTTGAA